TGACAATACCTGGCTAATTTTTCTATTTTTAGTAGAGATGGCTTCTCGCTTTTGCTTAGGCTGATCTTGAACTCCTGAGCTTAAGCAGTCCTCTTGACTCAGCCTCCTGGGGTGCTAGAATGATAGGAGTGAGCCACTGCACCCAGCCCTTCTCCAAAACTTGTCAAGAGATTAACTTAACTTGGGAAAAACTGTTATACCTTGTGTTCCTGAGAATTCTGGTAGCCACTAGAAGTAAGTTGACAGTTAGCCCCCTCAAGCTTTTATATGGGAAACCACTCCTGGATGGGCACCCATAGCTCAGTGGTTAGGGCACTGGCTATATGCTCCAGGATGGTGGGTTCAAACCTGGCTGGGGGCCTGTTAAACAAACAAACAAACGAAAAAATAGCTGGGTGTTGTGGCGGACATCTGTAGTCCCAGAAACTAGGGAGGCTGAGGCAAGAGAATCACTTGAGCCCAAGAGTTTGAAGTTGCTGTGAGCTATGACGCCACATCACTCTACCAAAGGTGACAAGGTGAGCCTCTGCCTAAAAAGAAAGAAAGAAAGAAAGAAAGAAAAAAAAAAAAAAGGAAACCACTCCTAAGAGCATCCAATCAGGGCTTGCCTAACGGTCCCTTGCTCCTGGAAAGGAAGGCTTATTCATATGTAAAACAGCTGGGTAACAAGGTAACCAGTATTTCTGAGTTTGCTCCCAACAGGCTCCACAGGTTGGTTTACGGGGATACACCCTTCCATTCCTCAAAGTTGGGAGACAAGATGTTGCTAAAAACTTGGAGAAAGCGGTATTCCAAAGCCACGGTGAATTCACCTTTTTGAGGTCTTCCTGGTAAGTCATTCATCGGTCAAGCTGAAAGTGTGGGATCAGCATACTTGGGTAAAACTTGCTTCCCCTGAACTTAAACCAAGGATGAAGTCAGATGGGACAGTGAGCCCCAAAGTGATCTTGCATTATTATTTCAGGCTAAGCCCACTAGCAGGTAGGATACATTGAAACCCTGAACTTGGAACTTTAATTATTCTGTCAGTCCTGTCCTTCTTTGCTAGAAAGGATAATTAAAAGATTAATTTGAATCCCTCAGACCCTTGTTTCCTTGGTTGATCTACCCAAATGTGAAAATGTTTAAAATCCTAAAAGAGTTGAATACTGCTAAAACTTGGTCAAGACTGGGACTCAAAAAACCCCCATGTTTCTTCTTGGCTTCCTCATGGGAACATCCAGTCCCTACAAACCCCCAGAATTAGACTGATGGTAAATTAGTATATTCCCCTAATTGGGATCTGGATTAGACACCCCCCTTAGCCAAAATGTTACAGATCTTACCTAAACTCTTGGGGACGACCTCCCTTAGGGGGCTATGATTTGGCTGCCACAGACCCTTGGTTAGAAGAGACAGCTTTGCCAGCTTCTCAGGCATATGACTATGACTTGTGCTCCAGAGGCATGTGTTTTTGCACTTTAAAAAGAACAACAGCCTTGAAACTATGCAAGCATTAAAGAGGGAGATGATGGCTAAGCTATTCTATTACTCCTTTCTCTGCACATAAGGACTTGGACACCAAAAGGACTAGTTCCATAAAATTGTTTTTATGGGCAACTAGGGGTATTTTGGATGGAGTCTCCATCTGGGAACACCAGGCTACACCAGAACAGTATCCCCTGGAATGGATATTTCTTTGGGGATACCTTACTACCCTGGTGGGTAGTGGCTGATTGACAACACATGCATCACAACCTAGCTATACCTTGAGGATAAGTGCTGATGAAACTTATCCTTAATAGCTGACCAGCAAAATCTTTAGACTCTTTAGATGAAGTCATTCTTGATAATTGTATAACTCTTGATTATATCTTAGCAGAACAAGGGGGTGTTTGTGTTATAGCTAATTCCTCATGCTACATGCATATAAATACTTCAGCAGAAGTAAAAATATGTATTGATAAAATCATACTGCAGGCTTCTTGGTTGCAACATGTTGGAGAGGATGGACCAGGGCTAGGAGATTGGTTCTCAGGAATATTCTGATTCCTCAGGGAATTGGCTCTGATATTTCTGGGATCTTAAAATTTGCTCTCTCCCAGCTCAGTGCCCATAGCTCAGTAGGGTGCCAGCCACATACACTGAGGCTGGTGGGTTTGAGCCCAACCAGGCCTGCTAAACAACAATGACAACTCCAACCAAAAAATAGCCGAGTGTTGTGGCGGGTGCCTATAGTCCCAGCTACTTGGGAGGCTGAGGCAAGAGAATCACTTAAGAGAATTTGAGGTTGCTGTGAGCTGTCATGCTATGGCACTCTACTGAGGGTTACATAGTGAAACTCTGTCTCAAAAGAAAAAAAAAGAAAAAAAAGAAAATTTGGTCTCTCCCTTTTACAAATTATTTTTCTAATTTACCTCATAGCAAATACATTAATCAAATGTGAGTTAAAATGTTGCTATAAAGCAATATATAAAGGCACTCAAGTAATGACGTTGGACACATCTAATCATCAACTTAAGATTCATGAGTTCTTTCTTTTTCAGGGGGAGGGGGGAGATCAGCATGGATTCTGGCACTAAGAATGTGCTTAGGAAGGCCCCAGGTCTGTACCAATGCCTGCTCCTAGCTGATTCTTGGTCACTGGGAGGATTCATTCACCTTTGCATTCAGCAAATACCAGCAGCCCTTCCTCCTCCCTGCCACACCCCTCCAAGGCCAGACCCCTAGCAGGGTGTCTCAGGTGTTGACAAGACAATGTGAGAAGGCCCTGCTTGGGGTAGCTAATGAGGATGGGGATTTAACCCTCTTCCAATTCCAAGAGACAAAGAGGGACCTGGGGTCCAGAGAGGTGGAATCTAAAAATGGTTGCACAGGCTCGGTGTAGCTCAAGTGGCTAAAGTGCCAGCCACAAACACCAGAGCTGGGTTCAAATCCAGCCCAGGACTGCCAAACAACAGTGACAACTATAACCAAAAAACAGCCGGGTGTTGTGGCTGGTGCCTGTAGTCCCAGCTACTTGGGAGGCTGAAGCAAGAGAATCACTTAAGCCCAGAAGTTGGATGTTGCTGTGAGCTGTGACACCACAGCACTCTACCCAGGGTGACAGCTTGAGGCTCTGTCTCAAAAAAAAAGGGGGGGGGGCTGCACAAATGTTGCCTGGAACACCAGGGCATATGACTGAATTTGCTTCTGTCTATACCTGGAAAGGGTCTTTTGGGTGGTAAGGTGCAGACAGACAGGGGAGAAGACTCCAGGGAGGAGAGATTCAAGGGCTTGAAAGTAACACGTTTGGCTCGGGGCCTGTAGCTCAGTGGTTAGGGCACCAGCCACATACACCAGGACTGGTAGGTTCAAACCCAGTCCAGGCCTGCCAAACAACAATAACAAGAAAACAACAGCCGGGCATTGTGGCAGGCACCTGTAGTCCCAGCTACTTGGGAGGCTGAGGCAAGAGAATTGCTTGAGCACAAGAGTTTGAGGCTGCTGTGAGCTATGATGTCACCGCACTCTGCTAAAAGTGACAAAGTGAGACTCTGTCTCAAAAAAAAGAAAAAAAAAGTAAAGCGTTTGCCTGGGAGAAAGTACTGCGAATTCACACACACTGTGTTGGTCAGTTGGTCCTGGGCTTCCTGGCCCTGGGACACATGAGTGGGTTTCTCTGGGGCCATTAGGTGATGGGGGTACCCCAAAGCATAGCAGGGATAGCAATCAAGGGACAGGTTCGGGGCAGCTTCAGAGCTGTGGCAGAGGCTAAGCAAGACTGCTGGGCTCCCCAATGCCAGCAGCGCTCCTGTGCCGGTACAGTCACCACTCTGGCCATCGTGGAGAAGCCAGACCACCTTTATTCACCTTTAAAGAGGGCTATAGCCCAAGGGCCACCACTGGGTGCCCCCACTGGCAGGCAGGGCCTGCATGGTGGGGGTGTGGTCAGGCCAGAGGATCTGGGAGGACGTCCCGTGGGGACGGGGTGCGGTGGCAGTGGACAGAGTGCGGCCGGCAATTCACTGAGCCTCAGTTTCTCCGTCACTGAGGTTGTATTGATTGGACCGCACACAGTTGGCTTTCAGGCGGGAGCGTATCTGGCTTGGCAGAAGGTGGCCTGCAGTCCTGAAGTCCTGCAGCCCTCACACAGGGTCATGGGCTCCCAACTTCAGGTTGTCGATGGGTAGAGGGACCAGCAAAAAGAGTACGCACGCGCGTGGGGCATCCGGCTGCTTGACTGCGGCGTCCCCGCGCCCCCATGTGGCGACAGCGGGAACCACCGGCCTTGAGGACCGACAGGCGCTCAGGAGTCTAGAGCGCGTTCTTCCAGGAAGTCGGGAGTAAGGCGATGGGGGAGGCTCATGGACCCCAAAGAGCTCAATGGGGTGATAGCCTCCCAACAGTACCAAGTAACATCTGTATATATGGTCATTTGAGGTCCATAGTAGTGAGCTCCCCAAAGTCAGGATTTGCCATGCTCAAAGCCCCATGTCTAACACTATGTGGCATACAGCAGGTGCTCAATAAATGCTTGTGACAGAAGTGAATAAGTGTGTAAGCCTTCCTTGTGGGTTGGAGGTGGTGGCCAGAATCGATAGCCAGATGGTCGTAATGTGCATCTGCACTGTCTGAACTTCCTGCAGGCAAGTCTCCTTCATAAGGGCCTGAGCTCCAGGACAGTAGAGATGCCTCTGCTGCTGATGGGTGCAACAGAGAAACCCAGGGTAGCTCAGGCCTCATATGCCTGTAAGGAGCCTAGGCCCTGGTACTCAGCAGAGCAAGTCATAGGAGGTCAGGCAGAGCAGAGACGAGGATGGAGGGGCAGTGGCTGCCCAACTTGACCACGGTTCCCTCCCCTAAACTCTCCTAAATGCACCTTAAGACAGGCTGGAGAGGGAGAGAAATGCAAAGCCAGAGCAGGGGTACTAAGGACATGTGGGACGGTTCCAGCTAGGACAAGGCAACACTGGGGTCTCAAGGGAACACGGGCACTGGCTCTCTGCCTGCTGCCCCTGGCCTCAGCCTCACAGGCCAAGCTAGGGGCTGAGGGTGGGGAGGGTGTCCAGGCCAGGCTCACAGCCCACAGGCAGTGTGGCAGCCTCACTGGGTGGGATGTGGTGGGTCATGTAGCGCTTTCCCATGAAGGAGCCAATCCGCAGTTGCTCGGGGGCCTCCTCAGGCCACCACAAGCTGGAGCTGGACAGGGAGAAGAAGAGAAGGCATATGTCAGGGCCTACTGCCCTTCCCACCTCCATCACCTGCAGCCTCTGATTCTGTCTTCCTTCTAGAACTAGCTGGAGACCCACCCCTCCAGGTGGCCACCCTGACTACCTTTGCATCAGGTAGCTAACTTGCCAGAGGGCCCATAGGGAGAAGTCAAGGTCCAGGAGGAGAAGGGCCCTGGCTGGGGACACAAAGGACAGGCTGGATTGAGGCAGCTCTTCCCCCAACTTGCCCTCAGAGGGTCTGTAGGACCACCTCACTGATCCCAAGGGGAGAGATACCCTGGGTGGGAATTCCCTGCACTGTCCCAGGGAAGGGGACTGCCCAGCTCAAAACAGTGTGAGTGGAGGGCTGGAGCTTGGGAGAGGAAAGGGCTCCAGGGATGGTGAGGGGCCCTTGGGGGTGTCACACTCACAAGTGCACAGTAGAGGCTGCCAGGAAGGCCAAGAGCAGGAGACTAGCCAGAGAAGAGAGGATGGAGGTGATGACTATCATGCTACCACTTCGTCGCCCTGGCCAAGTGTCAATGGAGCCTGGGTCCTTCCCTGCACATACAGTGGCTGCTGGGAGGCTGCCCCAAGACCCAAGTGGCTGTCACCTCCCACCCTCCCCACCCATGCTCATACCTCAAGATCTGGCTGACTTATGTCCCCACAAAGCCCCATGAACCATCTGATGTGTTCCTCTCAGTCAGGATGGCACAGCATCTGTGCTCTGCCCCCCACCCACTCCAGGACCACCCTTGGCTATAGCCTCCACCCTGGTCTTACCTTCTAAGTTCTTCCTAACTATGAGCCCCACCCACCCACTGCCAGGATATAGCAGGCAGGGTGCTGCAGGCCTCAAGATTTACCAGGGCACTGCCATGTGTCCTAGAGCCTGGTAGTCAAGGCATTCAGATGACAAGACCCCCACACCAAACCCCTGGTCTATCTTCCAGGCAACCCCCACCTGACACTTAGGCCTTGAAATGTGTGGTTTCCTTAGCCTGGTGACTCATACCTCTTGGGCTCTATTCAGAGAAACCTCCCAGGAACAACTATCACACCTGCCAGCCCAGACCCCAACTTGGGATTCTACACCATTCTCCTCCCACCCAGCAGGTGCTGGAATGTGCCTGGCTCCCCTAGAAGGACCACTTGTTTCAGCCCATGACTGGGCAGGGGCCTAGGCACTTGAAGTTTGGCACACTGGGGATAGGAAGAGTTGGTGCTCCTTGATGGGAGTGAACCAGTGCTTAGCACCAGGCTCTGTTGGGCTGGGCAAGGACACTGAGCAGGGGAGGGCTGGCCAAGCATGATAGCTTTGTAGAGGGGTTCTGGCCTGGAGAGGTGGGTGATTCCACAGGCAATGGAAGCCAGGGTGCCCCTCCCCACCCATCACTACCTTGGTGGAGAGTAATGTGGTCTGACCACCTGGTCTGGGCCTTGGGTGAGCCCCTGTCATCCATCAGGAGGAACTTCACACTGGGGACAGGAAGCAGTGGGAGAGGCTAATGAGACTCAGAGGCTCAAATGCCCCAGGCAAGGTATCCCTCTGTGGCCTGGCCCCAGGCAGCTTCTCTGGGATGTGCACCACTCATTGAAAACTGCCATGGCCAGGCCCTGCTCTGAGAACGCCCTGAGACTTCTCCAGCCATATGACCTGCGCCTTTGGCCCCAGTACCCAGGCTGTCCCTCTCCAGAAACTCAATCTGGGGCAGGCACACTGGTTTAGTGGCCCCTGTTACTAAATATCATATACACAAGGAGTAGGGTAAGGTGGCCCTGCAGGGCACATGAGGCAGGAGTTTCCAGTCTCCCAGATGGGTAGTGCTGGCCAAGAGGGATCTGTGAGACCTCAGAAGGAGTGAGGGCCCCCAACAGGGGCAGGCACTGGGCAAAAGGCCCAGAGGTGGGAGGCAGAGAGGGGGAGTGCTCAGTCACGGGGAGGCAGGACCCAGGCACCAAGAGTGTGGGAGGTGGGAGCTCTGAGCAGTGAGAGACAAAGCAGGCTAGTACGGGTGCTGTGGACAGGGTGGGGTGGGGCTGGAGCCAAGCCAGGGTGCAGCAGAGGAGGGAGAGGGAGAGGGCAGAGGGAGGCTGGGGGACAGGCAGTCCAACTATACCACCTGCATTTCTGTTCCCCTTAGGCCCTGTCCCCCTGAGAATACCTGATCAGACTCTAAGGAGATATCTGCTTTCCCCTTCTGTCTCTACCAAGACATTAATAGGCCACTTGGCACTCTGTGCCTCAGTTTCTGTAAAATGGGGTGGGACCCATCTCTCCTGCTCTCTTCACCGTACATCCCCTAGACTGGGTCTTAGCTTAGCCCCCAGGCCATTTCCTGCCCTGATGGCAGCCCCAAAGCCTCCTCATACCTTGACTAAGTCCCCACCTTTCCTGGTGTCCACCTCCTCAAGCCTGGGCTGCAGAGGAGAGGGCCCAAGCTTGCTCCATTGTCCCTGGGAAGATGCTAGGGAGGTTATCCCAGGCCCCAGAGACCCCTCCCTGATGCACAGTCCACTCCCAAGGCCCTGGAGAGACAACCCACCGGTAAGGTCCAGGACTAGAAAGAGGGGCATTGCAGTAGAGCTGCTGGTGGCAGCCATGGTCATTGCCCACTCGCAGCACGGGGGTGTCTCTACTGCTCCCCACAGGGTCCTCACAAGGCAGCTGGTCCAGGGAGAGGGGCAGCGTCATGTAATAGCCATCGGTCAGCAACTGTGGGAAGGCTGGGATCTCAGCAAAGGTCTGTGGGTTCTGGAAGCCCCTGGAGGCTGTAAGACAGAAGGACAGATCAGGGCGTGAGGGCAGAAATGGACCTTGTCGTGCTGACCCAGGGCCTGTGTTCACCACCCTCTAGCCCTGACCCCCCCCCCACATACCACTTCCTCCCTTGGGACCCGCAAATCAGACTTTGTCACCCTCTAAGAGTCTCTTTGGATTGGAACCAAATCCGCACCCACACTCTCAGTGGCGCCCTAGCAGGTCCCAAAATTGCAGGTGCTAGTGACAAACTCCTGGGGCACTGCATCCCTCAGCCCCTACCCTCACTGGGCCCTACAACAGCCCCTTACCATTGCTGTGGGCCACCACCAGCCAGATAGTATCTTTAGTGCCAGCATGCCCATCAAGGACACAGCGAGGCTGCTCCAGGGTGAAGGTGGTGGCAGTGACCTTCCCTTCCAGATCCCAGGCTGTTATCTGTGGCGTGTAGGGGATCAGCTCTGTGGGCATGGGCACAAAGGTGAGTGGTGGGGGCATCGGAGATTGTTATGAGCCCCCCCTGTGTCTGCCTCCCACAATCGCAGAGGGGTAGGCTGCTACCTATTGCAGCAGATGCCCCAGCCCCTTGGGTCTGGCCAGGAGCATCCATCCCGGGACCCCTACTCACCTAGGCTCAGGCTAGGCTGGAGCCAGCTCAGTACCACGAGGAGGAACAGCAGCCCCAGGAGAGGCTGCCTCTGGGGGAGCCCCATGCCACAGGTCTGTACCCCAGAGGTCAGAGGCTGGTCTGCTATCTCAAGCTGCACCCAACCCCCAGCACAACAGGCCTGGAGGAGCTGGTTATTCAGGCTACAGGGCAGGCCCCAGGCTGGAAAGACCTGTAAATGTAAACGCTCCCCTCACCCTCCCAGCAGCGCAGCCCATCACAGGCAGGGAGCTTGGTGGGCTCTGGAATGGGGCAGGCCAGTTCCTAGACCCACCACTGGGCTGAGAGAGGGGCCACTGGACCCCCAGTTGCCCACCAGGCCACCCCAGGGTCCAGCATCTGGATTGGGGTTCACCCAGTCTCCCAGTCCTGCGGAGGAGGCACAACCTCTGGAAACATGAGCTCAGGGCTGCATGCCTGAGATTCCTGGCCCCTGGTGCCAGGAGCCTCCCTCCCATCCCTACCCAAAGAGGGGAGTCCCACCCTGCCTTGCTCCAGTCCTGCTGGCCCTGCCCCCATGAGGCCACAGCCTCCCAGCTCACAGCCTGATCCCTTCTCCAAAGGAGAACTCTCTCAAACTCAGAGAAAGCACTGCAGAACTCTTGAGAAGTGACAAGCCTTCCACCTACACAACCCCCGTTGGTTCTCACTACAGTCTATGTAGACTTTTAAGATAAAACTCACAGCTTAGTGGCTTTTAGTATATTCACAGCATTATGCAATCATCACCACTAAATCAATTTTTTCATGCCCCTAAAATGTATCACTGCACTCATCTGACAGTCATTCCCCACCTCCCTGCCCCCACCCCCAGCAGCTACAAATCTGTCTGCATAGATTTGTCTTTATTGCACATTTCATAGAATGGAATCAACAATGTGGACATTGGTGTCTGGCTTTACTTAGCATATGTGCAAGGTCTATCCATGTTGTAGCTTGTGTCAGCACTTCATTCTTCCTAATGGCTGAGTAATACGTGTTCCACCATGTGGATGGACAGACCACCGTTTACTGAGCCATCTGCAGACAGGTTATTTGGGTAGTTTCCATCTTTTAGCTACTATGAATGATGTTGCCGTAAACATTCGTGTACAGGTTTGTTCGTGGCCATGTTTTCAGTTCCTTGTAGTGGAGCTGCTGAGTCACATGCTAACTCTCTCCCAGAAACTGTTTCTTTTCTTTTCTTTTTTGAGACAAGTGTCTCACTTTGTTGACCTTGGTAGAGTATTATGTTATCATAGCTCACGGCAACCTCAAACTCTTGGGCTCAGGTGATTCTCTTGCCTCAGCCTCCTGAGTAGCTGGGACTACAAGGTCCTTGCCACAGTGCCTAGCTATTTTTAGAGATGAGGTCTCTCTCTGGCTCAGGCTGGTCTTGAATCTGTGAGCTCGGGCAAATCCACCCGCCTAGGCTTCCCAAGTGCTAGGATTACAGGAGTGAGCCACTGTGCCTGGTTGAGGAACTATTTTCTAAAGTGGCAGCATTTCACGTTCACGCTGGCAGTGGATGAGGGTCCAATTTCTCCACTTCCTCTCCAGCACTGGTTATTTTCTTTGATTTATTGTCACTGGAGGCCAGCAGTTTCAGGCTGCGGTGAGCTATGATGATACCACTACCTCTACCCTGGGTGACAGAGACTCCCATCTCTTTTTTTTTTGAGACAGAGCCTCAAGCTATCCCCCTGGGTAGAGTGCCGTAACATCACAGCTCATAGCAACCTCCAACTCCTGGGCTCAAGCAAGTCTCCTGCCTCAGCCTCTCAAGTAGCTGGGACCACAGGCGC